GGTAGCGGACCGAATCCAACATTCCTGGTATAGAGATGAACATATTGAGTGTGTGAGTGAGACAACATCTACCGAAAGGTCTCGTTATCGAGATGGTAACAACCGGTTATTTGTTGTCAAGGTCATAGTGAGTGTTTTGTAGTCCCTCGCCACGCGTTGTGATCATACGTCCATTTTGTTACCATTGCTGACTAGTTTCAATATCAATTTTCTGAACGTATTTGAGTTGGAAGTGATTTGTCATTGAACATTTTATTAGTCATGCCTAAGTCTCTATCATGCCAAATCGTCCACATAATAAATTTTCAAAACACCATGCTGCTAATATAGTGTTTGTTTACGGCTTTTGCAATGCAAATGCCGCAGTTGCTGTGAGAGAATATCGAAAACGATTTCCTGATCGAATTACGCAAAATGTTAGGACTTTTGTCTTTACATACCTGAGACTGGCGGAAAATGGGATTTAAATGCTAGTAAACAACCGTTATCGGCTACTGTCTCCATAAGATGAAGAAGAGATTCTCAACATGATTACCCGAGATCCGAGAGTTAGTGTGAGGAGAATCGCTGCAAGACTGCACTTATCCTTAAGAGAGGGTTTACATCCCTATCATTTTAGAAGAGGTCAGGATCTTCATGAGCCAGATTATACAGCAAGAATCATAGTTTGCACCTGGTTTCAACGGCAGCTGCGTCATGTTATATAATCTACTGGAAAGGTACGTATGACAGTGCGTATGACATCTTTGACCTATGCTTTTTGAGATGAAAGGTGGTTGCTTAATGTTGTTGATTTTGTTTCTAGTTTGATATAAGTGATCTAACGGAATTAGATTATTTCTATGGTGAAATTGATAATTTATAATTTTATAAAAAAATTGTTGCCTAGGGTCTAATAGTTTTGCCCCACAATACAATAGTTCCATCACCATATTGCCGAAACTACAAATCAAATAATTTGTCGCTGCTCTTGAATTTGTTCCTAGACTGCATTTGCATATCCACAATTGGGGATCAGACAATTTTCAAGAGGTAAACCACTTTCAGCCATTTATATTAATATACAACTTTGACACAATTTTGACAAGCCACATCAGTGATACAAAATTCTAAATACTGAGTGTGCAATGACTCGGAGAAAGAAAAAGGATGAAGATGAGACTGTAAACATTAGCTGTGATTCTATTATGTCAACGAAGAAACATGTGAGTACTTGAAAAAACAGAATAAATTATTACAACAGGAGTTATTAGAAAAAACGAAAGATTTAGAAAATTGTCAAGCATTACTTTTGGAAAAAGAAACATTAATATACCACCTATCAAACGAAAACAGAAGATTTCAAGAACATGATCTTATTTCTTCAAACATAGTCGATAGAGACTGTATAGTAATACCACTTGAGACACTCCTTAGGAGAATTGAGAAGTTAGAGGAAACAACAACAAAAAATTCCACATATGCCCAAGCAGTTATAAATCCACCATCAAAGAGTAAAGAAAGGACACTTAAAAGTCTTATCATTACCCCTGAACAACAACAGTCTAACTACAGAACTAAGAACGAGCTGAGCAGAAGTTTGAATTTATCAAAAATAAACATCAAAATTGAAACTGTTAAAAACTATAAAAATGGTGGTATTGAATTATATGTAGAAGATCGCTACCATAAGAAGCTAAAAGAAGAAATTGGGAAGAATCTGCCATCAACATATACAATATCCGAACCGAAAATGTTTAATCCTAAAATAAAGATGGGCTACCACTCTGAAGAAAACTTCAAGAACGTGAAATAGAAGAAGATATTATGCGACAAAACCACTTTATAACAAAAGAAAATTTATAAATCACCTATGTTAGATTCCTTCCTCAAAAAAAGATGAATATAGTTTACGCAGAGGTGTCAGGTAAACTATTCAGACAAATATTTGATAATAATGGAGGGAAAATTTTAATTGGTTTTCAAAATTTATCAGTATATCCTAATAATGAGGTAACTCAATGTACAAATTGCTTCAAGTTTAATCACTCTGGTAAGAAATGTAATAGTCATAAAGTATGCTTCAAATGTGGAGAAGAACATGATGATACTTCATGCAACAAATCTACTAATCCCATTTGTTGCAACTGTGTGTATTCAAACAAAAAATATAATAAAAACTATAATACACATCACTCCCCAACAGATAAATGTTGTGCTGTATTTAAATTTTTCCAACAAAGACATATATCAAGAATTTTATTCTAAATTGCTAAGGACTTAGAATATTTATGAGTAGATACATTACAGAATTTGGACCTGAAATAATTAAAACAAATATTTTAGACGATTTACCTACAACAAAGTTACGTTTTTCTAATAATATTGATTCAGGATTGAACATCTTTCACACGAACATAAGGAGCATTCATAGAAATATGAATGAACTCCATGCCTTGTTGGATATACTAGATTTTAAATTTGATGTTATAGTGCTAACTGAAACATTTAAAGTATATGATACAATTTTGATCGAAATTCCCAATTATGATTTATATTATAACGAAGGTAGTTTTAATAAAAATGACGGGGTTCTGATTTACGTAAGACACAGTTTGAACAGTGGGTATGAAATTATTAATATAACTCAAACAAAACTTTTACGAGTTATTCTTCAAAAGAATAATAAATGGATACAGATCATTGGTGTGTACAAATCACCCTGTATATCTGTAACAACATTTAACGGTCAATTACAAGATTACCTAGAAAGCAGTAGAAAATTTGACATCAACTTATTCATTGGAGACCTTAATATTAACATATTAGATCATAACAATCAAAATATTCAAGATTATTTAAATATAATGGCTGAACATGGTTACCTGTCAGCCATTAACGAAATGACAAGAGTAGAAGGAAACAGTGGGAGTTGTATAGATCATATGTTTATAAATTCACGTTTAGAACTTGACAAAATATATTCAGCAATTCTAAAATACAAAATTTCTGATCATTTTCCTACTTTGCTCAAAATCGATCTTGAAAGTACATCAACCAAAATTGAAAAGACAGTGAATAATACAAAAATTTACATTGGTTATGAAAAACTAAATAACAACTTACTCAATGAAAATTGGATTGTAGTATATAACGAACCTAATATTGAAAATGCATTTGTCCTTTTTATATCTAGCATTGAAGGCCATATTGCTGAATGCACCAAAACAATAAAGATTCCACGAACACAAATAAAAAGACAAGCACGGATATCAAAAGGAATTATTACCTCCATCAACAAAAAAATAGAATTATATAAGGAAACCAAAAAATATCCTTATGATGTTAAACTTTTGAATGAATTTAAATCATATCGAAACAGACTGACAAAAATATTTAAAGAGGCTAAAATTAAATATCTCCAAGACGAGTTTGATAATCTACAAAATTGTTCGTCCAAAATGTGTCAATTTATCAATAAAATACAAGGCAAAAAACAAAACAACAAAATTAGTACAATTAAAAAAGAAAATGGTGAACTAGTGAGTAATGATGTAGATATAGCAAATGAATTTTGTGAATATTTTTCAAAAATCGGGAAAAGGTTGTCAGAAAGCATAAAAAACGCGGAGAAATTAAATTATAGTAAGACCAGATTATATAACTCATTATATCTGGAACCGACCGATACGCATGAAATAAAGACAATAATCAATGAATTGAAATTAAGAAAATCTCCAGGTCTAGATAATATAACAGCGTATACTCTCAAGAGAATAAATTGCAACATCTGCGGCATACTATCATATTTGATAAATTCTTGTATGAATAAAGGAATATTCCCTTCATGTTTAAAACACGCTATGGTAAAACCATTATTTAAATCTGGAGAAAGAGAAAAACCCATCAACTATCGACCAATTTCCATCTTAACAAATTTTTCTAAAATATTTGAAAAAGTGTTAAAAAAACGATTCACCGAATTTGCAAAAAAATATAACTTAACAGCGGAAGAGCAATATGGTTTTCAAGAAGGCAAATCTGCTCAAGATGCTATTGTAAAATTAACAAATAAAATATACACGAATCTCGATATTGGCAAACCAACTGCTTGTGTTTTTGTTGACTTGGCAAAGGCATTCGACTCTATTACTCATGAATCGCTTTTAACAACTTTAGAAAACTTAGGTTTCCGGGGAATAACATACAAACTTATAGAAAATTATTTGTCAAATCGAACACAGTGCGTCAAAATTAATAACACATTCAGTGAACCCCATATTATATCACACGGTGTGCCTCAAGGCTCAGTATTAGGACCCATTTTATTTAATCTATTTATCAACGATTTGTTCAAAATAAATAGTACAGATAAAGTTATCGGTTTTGCGGATGATACAGCTATTCTCTATGAAAGCAACCAGTGGCATACACTAAAAACCACAATCGAACATGATTTCAAAACATTTATAAATTTCTTTTCGGAAAGAACTTTGACAATTAATTACAACAAAACACACTATACAGGGTTATCCAAATTAAGTGTCCACCATTAGTAACTTTGTTATTAGTGAAAATACAAAGTTGTTTGAATTAGCAAACTAGTAGCATTTTTAACGCTGGTAAAAATGAGAAATAAAAAAAAACAATTGAGAGTCGTTATTTTGATTTTTTTCAGTAAAATAACATTTTTTTAAATGGAAACCCCTGTATATTATATTTTTTCTGTTAAAGCATCAAACTTTAAACAAAAAAGATCATAATGACTTTTCCGCTAAAGTCAAAAATAAAGTCAAAATAACGATAAATATTTTTAATTATTTGCAGTATTATAATATTAAGACGGCTATGAAAACAACATGGCGTTCGCGATTTGACAGCATTAAGATAAGCGACAAATTGTTAAACTGGACATACTCGCAACTAGAAGGCTTTGGAAAACAATGATAAAATCAAATAATGTCAAACATTAGTGTAAATACTTGTTTATAAGCTTTATTGTGTCATTAATTTAAAGAAAAATGTTCTCCCATGAAGAAAAGTGTGATATGCTAGAATGCTATTTAGTGTGCAGAAAATCCTCCTTGAGAGCAAGACAGTGAATTATATCCCGCTCGCATTCAACCGTATGAACGATATTTTCTGAGACTTTATCGAAAATTTAGGGGCAACGAAAATGTTTTTGCTAAAACAAGGGCAAAAAAAGAATTCATAATAAGCGAGGCCACGGAAATTGCAGTTATTGGATATTTTGAAGCTTATCGTGAGAATTCAATAGCAGATATTCTCAAGGACTCTAATTTCAGTTATGGTACTGTTCAAAGGATTTTAAAAAAATACAAATTTATTCCGTATAAGTACCGACCAGTTCAAACGCTTTTGGCAGGGGATCCAGAGAGAAGACTTGTTTTTTGCCATTGGTATCTTAGCTTCTGTCGCCAAAATGTAAATAACTTTCGTTACCTTTTATGGACAGATGAATAAAATTTTTCAAATTCTGGAATGTTTAATAGAAAAAACCACCATTATTGGTCAAGAGAAAATCTTTTGTTAGTACATCCAAGAGGCCCACAAGTCCGTTTCAGTTTCAACGTTTGGTGCGGTATAATTGGTTCAAAAATTGTTGGCCCGTTCTTTTATGAGGGAACCCTAACTGGTGAAAGATATGTGGAATTTATGTCAGAAATTCTGACTAATTTCTTAGACGAATTGGATCTTATAAGTAGACATCATCTGCATTTTCAGCAAGATGGCGCACCTGCCCACACCTCCAGAGGTACTTATCATTTTCTAAGTACTACTTTTAATGATCAGTGGATGGAACAAATGGCCCAATACAGTGGCCTCCCAGATCACCAGATCTAAACCCACTTGATTACTTCTTGTGGGGTTACTTAAAGAACCAAATTTACAAGCGAAGGTACGATAACCTTGACGCGTTAAAGACTGCAGTTAGGGAAAAGATAACCCAGATAGATAGTAGGACCATACTTAAGACAGTTCGAGCAGTTGAAAAACGTGCCCAAAAATGTATTGAAGAACAAGGTGGTGTTTTCGAGCATCTTCTTTAAAAAAAAATATTGTATTTTGTAAGATTATAAGTTGATGTTGAAAATAAAGTTTGTCGATACAATTTAATTGTTTCAGATTGGAGGCCATAACTTCAACAATTTGTAACCTAGGAGAAAAGTTATTGTAGGCTTTTTTGTTTAAAATTTGATGCTTTAACAGAAAAAAATATAATATACAGGGGTTTCCATTTAAAAAAAATAACGACTCTCAATTGTTTTTTTTATTTCTCATTTTTACCAGCGTTAAAAATGCTACTAGTTTGCTAATTCAAACAACTTTATATTTTCACTAATAACAAAGTTACTAATGGTGGACACTTAATTTGGATAACCCTGTATAGCATTTTCTTGTAACGACAGGCTCTCACCACAATTTAAAAAACTTGAAATTCATACAAGCACTGGTCTCAAAGAGTTTGAGTCAGCCGATAAATTAAAATACTTAGGCGTGATTTGGGACAAACACTTAAAATGGGATACCCATACAGAGTACCTTGTAAAGAGACTGAGATGTATTATTCCAAAATTCAGGTACTTCATAGATATTCTAGATAAGAAATATCTATATAGTCTATATTATGCTCTTGTTTATCCTCTATCACTTTACGGTATTTTGGCTTGGGGGGGAGTTATGAATAATAATTACAAAAAGGTTGAGGTAATCCAAAAATTAATTCTAAAATTGATCCTCCATAGGGAGATTACTTATTCAAGTGATTTTCTATATGTGGAGGCTCAGCTATTAGATTGCAGACAAATTTATTTTTATTGTGGTCTAATACATTATTTCAAATATTCAAAATACTTTAATCGTACCATTCATAACTACCCAACAAGATTCAATCAAAATTCAATGTGTATTCCACAAACATCAAGAACCATTACACAACGATCTCTGTTTTTCTTGGGACCAAAATTCTATAACTTCATACCAGAGTCATTAAAAGTAATTAAATCAAATAAATCATTTAAAAAACAACTAAAAAAATGGATTTTACAACAACCAAGGTACTCCATCCACGAAATTGTAGATCTGAAAAATCATTATCAAAATCAATAATATATTACTTACACTAAAATCCATACTTTTACTTCAGTTCTAATTGTCTGAATATTTTTCCTGACATTACCATAATAATTCACCAAATTATATAGTATTAATGGGTTTTTTCTTTTTTTTTTTTCGCACACTGACTGTACTATTAGTTTTTATTTTGTACAAACCCAAACACAAATAAACATTATTATTATTATTATTATTATTGTTATATTATCACAGTTAATCTGTATACATACAAAGGATGGTAATTTGTTTCTGTCATTTGTGAATGGCATGAACATAGTCTTTCGAGAGTTAATAGTTAGGCATTTATGTCTGAACCAGTCTGCAATCATTTTTAAGTCTCTTTCAACCTTCACTTTTAGATCATCCCACGAGTTGTTTTCCGAATAAATGATAGCAGTATCATCTGCAAAATGATTGTCCCTTCAGATTTTAAGCTCAGCAGGCTATTAATGTAAAGTGTAAATAATAAGGGCCTAACACTGTCCCTCGTTGGACACCATGCCTTTTCAATTTGTTTGTGCTTAAGGAATCATTTATTTGTACGCGCTGTGGTCTGTTGGAAAGGTAACTTTTTACGAGGTTACAAGCCTTGCCTCTAATTCCTGAGTCGCGTAAGATAGTAACAAGTGGCCTACTGTGTCGAATGCTTTTGCTAGATCTAAAAACACACACAGGGTATATTGACTTGGGTCTAGTAGTTTATATAATTTTGATGTCAAAAAAGAAATTGCGCCTTGGGTAGACTCGTTTTTCTGGGATCTAAATTGTTTCTCAATAATCAGATTATGTTTATCAAAAAAATTTTGAGTCATTGTTTATAATTCTCTCAATAATTTTTGCAAAGCTGGATGTAAGAGTTATAGGCCTGTAATTATTAGTATCTGTTTTTTCACCGGATTTGTGGATGGGTTTTACTACTCCTACTTTATAATCATCTGGAAATTCTCCCGATTCAATTATCAAGTCCGCTGTGTACGTCAAGGGCTTACTAACTTCGGACGAAATTTCCTTTAAAATTTCTGATCGTATACCAACAAGACCTGGGTTTTTTTCTCTCAAACTGTATATTGCATTTTTTATTTCATTTTCAGATCCAGGTTCTAAGAAAATCGATTGTTGTATACATTTTCTAGGCGGAATATTTGTGCTAGGTTTATTTATTTTCATTGCTAATTTTATCCCTACTTCTATAAAGTAATTATTGAATGCATCAGCAATATCTTTACTTATGGTAAGTGTCGTATTATGGACGTTTATTTCTTCAATTTTTGTTTCAGGTTTGGATGAATTACAGATCTGATTTATGGTATTCCATAGCATTTTAGCGTCAGATTTGTTGTTTTGTAGTTTTTCTGTGTAATACTTTTGTTTCGAAATATTGAGCAATTGGCCGAGTTTAGTTTTATAGTACACATAAATTTTTGTTTTGTTTGGTCTGTTGGATTTGTCTTAGATAATTTATATTTCTCGTTTTTTTTATTCATAGATTTAATTAGTCCAGCAGTTACCCAGTGTTTTCTTGGGCTGTCTTTACGATTTATTTTAATTTTAATGGTATTTTTTATATACTTTCAGTGATTCTTGTAGTCAGATAATTAGTTGCTGCGTTCACATTCTTATACTATATAAGTTGTTCCAGGTTTCAGATTTTAAGTATATTCTGTATACTTCGCTTTATTAGGGTTAGTATGTACAAAATCTTCAATTTTGAGGGGTAGAGTTGATACTGTACTATAGTGATCAGTAATATCTGATTTTATTACGAAAGCTTTATAATTATGATTTTCTTGTTTACTTCTTAAAAAAATGTGGTCAATACAAGTACATGAGGCGCCACGCACTCTAGTCGGAATATTCACAATTGAGGTGAAGTTTAGTATAGATAACATGTTAAGATATTCATGAACAAGCAAACTGTTACTATCTAAGATGTTTATGTTGAAGTCCCTATTTAAAACGCAGCAGTCTGTGTTTATAACATGACCTCTTAAATAATATTTGAGATCGACTAAGAATTGTTTTATGTCAGTTAAGGGTGGCCTGCAGAAAGATATTATTGAGATAACTATTTTATGTATATTTATCTTAGTAAGTACCCCTGTACACTCGGTGAACTGTATAGTGTGTGACGTAGAACTTAGGATTACATTTACGTAGATGATAACACCATCATTTTTATTAAAATTTGCATTATTGTAGAACACTTTATACTGATTGAAAATTTGTTATCTATGTTATTTAACTATATTTGTCTGATGTCTATTATTAATCTATTGTTTCGCGACTTATCTATTTATATTAATGTTTGCGGAAGGGTTGAAAAATGTCAATACAATACCCTTTCCTTTTGTGTTGTTTCGCAATAAACGTTTTTATTATTATTATTATTATTATTACTATTATATACCCTCTTCACCACCTACAACCCTGCCCCCAAATTTTTCACCTCTAATTTTTTTTTACAAAAATCATCCTCTGAATCATTATGTTTGATGCGGTTTTAATTTTTTCCGTTTTTGGAATTTTTCTCCGCCGCCACTGGACTGATTTGCAGAAACTACAAAGCTTTTCCGTTCTTGGCATAGTAAGATTGTGTAAAAATCTAACCAAAATTCGAGCGGTACTTCTCACGTTTTAGGCGGCCATAGAATTAGCGGACCGACAGAGAGATGGACCGACAGGCAGATCGATAGACAGACAGAAATGAGCAACACAGCTTTCCGTGATTTACAAAAATAAGCGATCCAAGTTGCACATACCTCTTTCATTTTCTGCCCTCAAAAAATGCCGAACTGCAACGTCGCATTAGCGCCTAAGGTGGTTCAATAAGCACTTAGGTGGCTGCAAAATGATATGGACTATAGAACAGTAGCGTCACTCCGTCGTTAAAACAGCTTTTAGCGAGGCGTCTGAAATGATATTGTGGTATCCAAAGTCCTACATGCAGTTTATCTGTGGTGTCTGTGATATAGCAGGTAGTGAAGGGGAAGGTAAACATCTAGGTAATGATGGTCACCTGCAGGTAGTTGACCGCAGAATACAGTCAGGAGTGTTTTAAGTGTCGCCAAACTAGCAGAAAGTGTAGTGCAGATATTTCGATGCTCCGTTAATGATGTAAAGGCGAGTATTGTTATTCCAACATATTTGGAATTTGAGACATCGTCGCTTAAGTTGTAACACCACAAAACTCAAAAAAATAACTACGTACTTACTTGAAAAAAAGCTACCGTGATTGCCGGAACGTCATCAGTATTAGCATATGAAGCTTCATTAGCGACTAGACAAACATGGAATTTTATAAGATCATTCGATAGCGAATGTTTTTGATTTCTTAAAAAGTGGTTAGTTTTAAGTGCTGGAACTCTTTTTGTTGAACAACTAAATTTTTGTGATTCATGAGTGGGTAGTACCAAAAAGGTGGAAATACGATATAAATTTGTTATTTAGTTCTACATCCTACGACAATGAGCAATGGCAAAAATTTTGAGTTTTATATTTTAATGACGTTTCATGATATACCCAAAACGTATGGATTCCTCAAGTAGGGAATCCCATTCAGATGAACCAGCGGCCAGTAACCCTTCTTCTCTTTATTCGTAGGTATGTATATCTTGGTATAAAATCATAAACAAAAAAAGCGCATTGTATAGCGGCATGTCTATTTATCCAGTTGAAGGGTGTATGAAAAGCTGGACATACACGCTAATAATATGCATAACAGCCTGGTTTACTAGCTATTATGGATATTCAGATTCATGATTCCGCCACTGTATGAATAAATCATAATCAATTTTCCCTCTGTGTCTGTACCCACACTCCGCCTATACACGACGCGAAACCGTACCGAAAATCTCCCAGCGTTTGAAATCCTCCACTCCAGTCAGTGCCTTAGATTTCTTACCTTTCGT